AACACATCAGAAAAAAAAAAAACACACATTCATTTTAAAAAATGCTTTTCTGCAATATTTTAAACTAAAATGAATTGATAGTTGTTTAAATTCAAAGTAATTAAACTTTAAATGAGCTAATCTTTCTCAAATAAAGTTTCAGAAAGGTAAATTTTATTTTTGAAAGGTTTTTTTTTTTTTAATAAAGAGAATTATGTTGAGCTGACAGATCTGTCAATATGGACAAATTCATTGATTTTATTGATAAGTAGAAAAAAAATGAAATGATTCCAATTAATTTTAAATTCGGATTGAAATGAAAGTATTTTGCTTATTGGGAATATTAAATTTAATCTATTGGCTTGGAATTAAAACAGAAATTGAAGTTTCAAGAAAGATTTTTCCTTTTTTAAATGCATTTTAAACTTGGGTATGGATTTTTTTTTTTTTTTGAAGTACCTATTTTGAGGGATTTTTTTTCCCCGACAATTCAGACCATTTTTCTGGTTTCAGTGGCAGGGAAAATTTCATGATAAATTGTCCAATATCCTCAGAGCTTTCAACTTTTATAAGTCATTATCAAAGAATATTTTTTGTGGTGATAGGAGTTGTCTGATGTTCAGCCTTCTAAAAACAGTTTGAACAGCTAACAGAACAAGATAAGCTTCCTGCCAAATTATACTTTACTAATGTCAGTCTGATTAGTGGTGATGAAAAAATGTGAAATTAAGATGAAAGAAAAAAGTTAAAAAATTAACCATGGCTGACCATGCTTCGTCTAATAATAACAGAATAACTGAATTGCAATAAAAAAACAAGTGAAAATAAGATGAAAGAAATACTTGTCTAAGAATTAATAATGGCTGACAATGCTTCATCTAATAATATATCTAATCACATTTTGAGTAGTTGCAATAAAAAACAAGTGAAATTAAGATGAAAAATATGAGGTAAAAAGAGACATGTCTGCATTGTATTTCATTTGTGATTTTTTATCATATCTTTACATGTTGGTGGATGTCTGTCTGATTCACTCAAGGTGACATCATTTAAATAATCAAACTGAAATTTTTGTGTTATTTTTTTCATTTTTTTTTAAACACGTTTTTAGTATTCAGTCCCCTATGGAGAAAGACACTTTATTTAATGTTGCCTCTCTTTTATTGTAACAGCTGCCAAAAACGGCAGTTGGGGAAACATTTTATACCAATGCATTTCATTCCTTGAGGAACTTTATCAGGACAAGTGGAGAAATTTTATTCAGGAACCTGTATTCATAGTGATTTAGCAAGTGTAGCTTACATGTGTCAGAAGGCAGAAACTATAAAACACCCAGCAAGGGTTGAACTCACTATTCAGTCGTAATTGTATAGCATGACAAACTTGCTTAACCCTTACACCACATTGAAATGCACAAGTTACCTGTATTTATACACAGAAGTAACTTGGAGAAAAATAACATTAGCCATTTAAATTTTGAACAAGAGAACACACTGTAATTTTCTAAAATCTTACTGCATCAACGATAAAGGAAACTAAGTGAATTAATGTCGTTGTTACTGAGTTTTTATGTAATTATTTATTTATATGTTTTATTTATTTTTTATAAAATGGTTGTGAGTTAACAATTTTCTTTTGATTTTAAAAATCTTTTATGGTCATACATAAATATATTGTCTTGAGAAAGGAGCATTTCCTTTAAGAAAAGAGATATTTGAAAAAAATAAAATAAAAGGAGTAACTTTATGATTAATTCTTGCCAAGAAACAATCACTGCACTTTCATCTAATCTTTATCATTTCTCTTAATAAGTACAGAATTTCTGACACTGAAATTGTGGTTGAAATTATTTCTGTGTATAACTAATGCATTGGATAAATTACTATGTAAGTTCTTTCTCATGTTCATAAATACGTTTTTCTTAATTTCTGTAAGTTTCACCAATATATTCTAGGGAGCAGTTGTAACAGTTTATTTTATATACGCCTACTTCAGAATTATTATTATGGACATTTTTGGTATTATTATTTTGTATGCTTTTCTTTTAGACATGTAGATGAAATAGTAAGGATATTGGATGTTTTTAAGGAACAGTAGTTTCAGGCTATCTTATTTTTAATCATATACATACTTTTTGGATGTAGTCATAATAAATTTAATATTAAAACCAGAAATCTCAAGGAACAAAATGCATAAACATGAAAAATTTACCACTTGTCATTTTTTTCCCTTATATATATATATATATATATATATTTTATATATATATGTTCAAACAGGTTTGGTTAAATAATTTAGACATACTATGTTTATTTTTGTTTTAATCCTTTCGAGTCCACAATTTAATTTCTTGGTAGCAATAGCAAATTGGTTAATAGATATACCAACATTTTCTTTTAAATAATTTTTATTTTCCCAAATACTTTCAGTCTCATCTGAGACCATCTTCATGGGGTTAAATTGTCTGGGTATATGTATATGTATTTCTCTAAATTCAAAACATTTTTACAGCTCGTTTTATGGTGTTTTTATCGTCCTATATCAATTTCAAAAGGATTTTTTTTCCATGCAAGAGATGCAAGTTTAGTATTTCCTAATTATTATTTTTATTTTCATATATATATATATATATATATATATAAAACTTTGCTGCTACAAACATTTAAGAACTTTATTGCTATACTTAGTCGATTTTATCTATTTTGGGCTTTAATTCTTTTATATAAAGGGCTAGGATTTTAAATTTTTTGCTTATTATTATTTTGGTGTAATATAAATGTATTTTCAACTAATATCTGTCTAAACTGTGAATGTAGACATGAGTGTTCCTTTAAATGCTGTAATATTGAACTATGCCCATCCAAGTGAAATGTAAACCATCTCATCAGCATTATCATTGTAAAATCAACATACATATTAACATTTTTATCAGAGATACAATCTCCTAAAGGACATCTAAATTGATATACAATGTTGGCCTTTTGTAAGATGCTAGTTGACAGAGAAGAATTGTTTTTGACAACTATATTGGTTATATTAAATTTAGTATAGTATGAAACCAACCTCACTTGCTTACTAGGATCAGCTGGGGATACATTAGTGTTTATGAGTCTTTTCAGAATTCTTTTTTTTCCTGCTTATAGTCAGAATGCATTTAATTATGGTAGAGTTATTTGATAATATAGTCATTTTTATTCATGTTCATATTATAATATCTTGTCTAATTTGTTCATCAACGACATAATTAGCAAAGTAATGAGGGTTTGTTTAATATTTTTTAATTCAGTAGAGAAAATTCTTTTTATTTACATTATCGGGACTTATCCTCATTTTCATTGCCATATTCACAATGTTTTGTTTGTTGTACACTCCAAACTTCTTCAGGTGATTGGAATTTAGAACTGAACCCTTTATTTCATCCACTGGATTAGATTGTTCTAGTTCCAAGTGCCATGCCTCTTCTGGATGTCTCAGTTATTTCCCTTTAACTCCTCTCTCCAAGTTTTTTGCTTCACCACTGCTGTAGCCTGGTATTGAACTTACAACTCTTTGGGTCTAGTCACTGGATCTAGACAACATCTTTATCCACTGGGTCCTTAATATCAATCACCTGAAGAAGGCCGGAGTGTACAACAGCTGAAACATTGTGAATATGACAATGAAGATGAGAATAACAGTTCAAATAATGTAAATAATCATAATACCTCATCTTAGAGGTATAGACAAAATTCTTTTTGTTGAAAATATATATATATATATATTTATATTATTTATTTCAGAGTACATTGCTATATTTTTTTTCAAGTATTGCTTTGTGTACATTTACGCAACTGTTTTTTGTTTAATTTCAGCATTCTCATGTTGATAGAACCAATTTCAAGTCACTCAAGATAACATCATTTAAACAGTCGAATTGGAATTTTTACGTATTTTCTTTCTTTTAAAATACTTTACATTGAGTCAATAGCTTTGTCCACCGCAAGGAAAGTTGGTTCACTGTGCAACGCTAGGAAATTTTTCTCACCTGAGTCGATCCTTCAAATCTACAAATCAACCATTCGCCCTTGCATGGGTGAAATGCTTAAAAAAACTTCATGGAACAAAATACCTCATTTAATGTTGGCTGCTTCTCTTTTATTGCAACAGCCTCCAGAATTTTGAGTCCTTCTTTGCCTTGTGGCACATAAAAATTGCAGTTTGACCATTTAAATGATGCCTCCTTGAGTGACTTGAAACTGGATTCAGGAAACGTGAATGCCAAAATTAAACAAAAACTGTTCCATAAATATACACAGAATAATCCTTGAAAATGAATGTAGCAACATTCAAAATTATTTAAGGAAACAAAATAATATAATACAAATATATATTTCAGATATTTTTCATATGTCACCTTTCTTAAAAGAAATACTCCATTTTCAAGCCAACATATGATATGTCCATAAAAAAATTTTAAATTTAAAAATAGTTAACTCAAGGTTTTTAAATATTTAAAATAAATAATTAAAATAAAACACATAAAAATAAATAATAATTGCATAAATAAAACTTTAATAACATTTACTTACTTTTGTTTATTAGGCAGTAAGTTACATCACTTAGTATCTTCCATAGTTTACCTTTCCTTACATAGCTTCACAAATTCAAAATTTAACAATATTTTTCATCCACATTAATTTAGTGTGTAAATACAAGTTACAAAATTAAATCTCCAAATTTACTTTGATAAAGTTCTTTCCTTTCACCATATATATATATATATATATATATATATATATATATATATATATATATATATGAGAAAGAGAGAGTGTTGTGGAGTCGTTTCACAGTGGAGGCTTGTATTTCAATAAGTCGTCCTAAATTAGGTTCGACGTACAAGAACTTTAGAACTTGGAAATAAGAGTTAAGGACACAGAAATCTAGTTGTGATGGTTGAGACTTCAATGTCTGACACGCTCAACACCACCTACCCCGAACTGGCGACTGCTACTGCTACTTATTGTCTCTGGAAGAGTCCATTACCATAGAATAGGTAGTATAACACAGAGAGAGAGAGAGAGAAAGAAAGAAAGAGAGATAGTAGATAGAAACAGACTGAGATAGATGTGAACAGACTGTGATAAATAGCTAGGCATGAACAAGCTGAGATATAGATAAATAAATTAGTAAGTTCTTCTCATAAACTTATTTTTTTGTTGATTGTGTATAACCATAGCAATGAGTGAATGTAGAAGATCTTATGTTCACAAATACTTTTTCCTCAAAACTAAGTTATTTCATAGTTTAGTTTTGAAACAAAGGTCACAAGTATGTGACACCCAGTGTGGATTAAAATCACTTGTAGATCATTTGTAATGAGTTTGATTCTCACCGAGTGCCCCCTTCTTGTGGGCTAGTTCCAAAATTAAGTTTGGTGGAGTTACACTGTTAATTTACTCCACATGATCAACATTGCTATAAGGATAAGTTAATTCATTGCACAAGCATTGCTTCCCACGTTCTGTGCACATAATTAAGGCCTGTATGGTACATAAATAAATTTAAGATGATAAATTGAAGTTAAAAAAAAAAAAAAATATAAGATACACAAACAAAAAAAGTATATCTATGACAGAAATATTCCAGCAAGTTTTTTTTTCTCACTCTTTTGACAATTTCTCCCCTACGCTCATCAAAGTTCTAAATTCTGAGAGGAGAATTTTTTTCCCCCATCTTTCTAAGGTCAAACAAAGCACGCTATCCAGTTCTTCCGCGTATGGTTGATTATAAAATAAGGCTGACTAACTTTTCAGTTCGGTTGGTAATTTCAAATTCTTTAAGAGACACCAGTCATTTTTCCATAGACGGCGCTTCTGTTTTGCAAATGGACATTAAGTCTATAAATTGTGGAGATGCTTCAATGAGTTTTTTTTCAAGGTAATTAAGACCATTTTGTTCAGTAGCATCCAAGAAATACCGATAGTTTACCATCATCCCACATGATTGTCCAAGTCCACGTGGGGACATATCACCAAGCCAGTTTAAACGCCATAACGTAGCTCCATTTCCTAGGTGAAAGTTGGCTACAAAAGAGAAAGAAATAAATGTATTTCAATTAAAATTTAAATTAATTAAATTTTTAAAAGTTGTCCTTAATCTAATCTACAATAGAATTAGGGATTGAACTCACAATTACTGTGTCACCAAATTAACAAATACTTTAATCTACTAGGCTATTGTTCTTTGGTACAATCCTGAGTCTAGAACTAACCCAATCTGCCTGATGCTGACTGCATTCACCATGTCTTTTTTTTGCTGCTGCTGCTGTTGAAGCTTTGCTGTCATTCTCTTTATTGCAGGCTTAGACTTGGTTGAATCAAGGCAAGCGATAACAAAGGATTACTAAATAAGAACACGATGAGATATTTTTAGACATGGACAGCAGAACAAGAACAATCTACTCCTGTTGATTAAATGAAGGGTTCAGTTAGAAATTTCACGAGAGTTACATGGATCAACAAGTACCTGAAGAAGACCAAAGAGCACGAAATGTTGTGATAACAACAACAAAGATGAGGACATTAGTCTGAATGCAAATAAATCTAAATAATGTCAACCCTTGGGTTATTTAGTATTGAATTTTGTATGAGGCACCTAGTGTGGATCAAACTAAATACTCAGTAGTAATGGTAAAAAAAACTAGCCTTACTAACTATAACCGCATTGTTGATTGGTTGATTTTATGACATATCAAGCATTACTGGGTTATTTATCAAATTTTGTATGAGACACCCGGTGTGGATCGAACTTAATACTTAGTAGTAATGGTCAAAAAGACTAGCCTTACTAACTATTACTGCATGTCAAGGCACCATAGATGGTTGGATGGTTAGGTTTATAACATATTAACCCTTGTTGGGTTATTTAATGTCAAATTTAGTGTAAGGCACCCAATGAGGATCAAATTCACTAATCAGCAGTAATGGGCTATCCTCATTAACAATTGCAATTTTAAAACATATCAACCCTTGTTGGGTTATTTAGTACCAAATTTTGTGTGAGGCACCAAGTGTGGATCGATATTAGTAGTAATTGTCAACCAGATTAGCCTTGCTAACCCTTACCTCACACTTAGTTTCAGGTTTGTTGAGCTTCACTAAACTGAAGCCACTGCACATTTTATTACTAATTGCTACATGTTTTAAGTTTCTAGCATTTACTAAATATTTTTCAAGTCTGAGGTTAAGACCCCTTCCCTTGACTTTTTACAGAATGCACACATTTTAACCAATTAATGGCCACCTTAAGATCTGGAATTATGAAAATTAAAATAATAATTTGTAATTAATTATGAAAATTAAAATAAAAATTTAGTATTAATTAAAGATTTCTATATTTAAAATACTAATTATAGACTACAGAATTCCTGTATTAATAAGTTTATAAAAATCTAGTATTAATAGTAGATTTCTACTACATTATTGACCACCATCCAAAATAAAAATAAATAAAACATTAATTTGAAAGATTAAAATTAAAATCCAGTACTATAGTTTTATAAAAATTCTAGTATTAATTATAATAGTATTAATTATAATAGTATTAATTAATTATAGCTTTAAGATTGTTTAACCTTCATACTCACAAAAACACTGTGTCAGAAAGACAATTATTCCTTTAAAAACCGCTATTACTGTATACACTTTTGATTCCCTCAGCAGTGTTTGTTTTTAAAAAGCGATGATTATAATTTTAAAAAACCCAAACATTTGAAAATACATTTTCTTTATTCTTGAGAATTGAGAACAAAGATATTGAACACTATTAGAGAGAATAAAAAAACTTTTATTCATAGTTCTTTATAAAATGGTAAATAATAAATATTGCATTGGTTTACATATTTTGATCATTTTGTAAATAAATTTTTAAATAAAAAGATTTCTTTTCAAATTTAATAAAACGATAAATACACTATTTACATTATTCAGACCATTGTCTTCATCTTTGTTGCCATATTTATCACAATGTTTTGGCCATTGTATGCTCCGACCTTCTTCAGGTGGTTGGAATGTCGAACTGAACCTTTTATTTTGCTCACTGGGGTGGACTGTTCTAGTTCCATGTCTAATAGATGTCAGTTATCAGTTATCTTCTGTTAATTCACCTCGCCAAGTTCTCCACTGCCTTAACCAGGTATTGAACTCACAATTCTTTGTGTCCTGTCACTAGATCTAACCAATGCCTTTATCCACTGTGCCATGTGTCCTTAAGGCAACAAAGATGAGGACAATAGTCCAAATAATGTAAATAGTGTACATAATACCTCATCTCAGAAATATAGACAGATACTGAAAGGCCGAAACGTTGTAACTAATATGGCGACAAAGATGAGGACAATAGTCCAAATAATGTAAATAGTGTACATAATACCTGATCTCCGAAATATAGACAGATACAAAACAATAAATCTTTTATAAAAAGTAAATAAATATCACATACTTGGTTCACGTATTTTTATAATCTTCTAAATAAAACCTGCCAACGAAGTCAAAAGTAATAGTTGATTTTTTTTTTTTTTTTGGCAGTACATTGACCTCTATGGGTTATTTAATGTTGAAATTTAAATATTTTGAATGCAATTGTATGCCTTCAACTACAGATAAAATGTATTGTTGGTGATTTTACTATAGATAGGTATACTTGGTAATTTTTTTTATAAAAAAATGTATTGCTGATATCTTTACTATAAAAATATATTTTTATACTTTCAAAGTGCCTTGCTTTTGGTTGAGGGCCCACTATTTGCTTATAACTGGGACCCTAACAGGTGCTACCACTGTGGGTCAGAGTGGACATTGGAACAACAGCAATTAAGAGGTGGTTCTATGCTCCTGAAAATTTCTAATCTCTCAATCAGAGGTCCTGCTGCCGGATGTAGTTTATCATCACACGCAGGAATTCAAAAGTAATAGCAGTGTCAAGGGAATAACCATAATTTTGATACAGTTTTTTTTTTTTTTTGTCAGTACAAAGGTTAAATATTGTCATAGTTTTTATCAGTAAGCAAGTAATACTTGTCATTTCATTTTTGGAATGCTGAATTAAAATAAGGCTATAGAACCTGATCTGTCCTGTTATTTACCCATAACTGTGGGGTGAAGAAGAGGATTCATACCTTTCCCAAGGGTATTAGCACGTAAGTGAATGTAATGGATTTGACTGGAATTCGAACTCTGCTTTCTGATTCCTCAATCTGAGCCGCTATCCATTACTCCACTGTGCCTCCTAGGATACATAGATTATTAAAATATAGTTTTTAAAAGTATTATGCAAAATAAATGTTACCAGCACTATTTCTTAGTTTTAATATATATATATATATATATATATATATATATATATATATAGCTTAAAAGCCACCCTATTGGGCAGCATTTAAGCTAGCTCTTGTGGAGGGCTTTTGATTGCGCCTTCATCACAATAGATAGAGAGGTGTAGATGTGATAGGCAACAATAAACTACAGAACTCAAAATTGATCACTGCATTTAAGTAGTGCATTAATATTTAAGCTTACCTTTTAAAAGTTCAATGATAATTCTTCTGGCACCACTTAATTTAAAGACAATTTGATGTATATAGCTCCTTATTTTTCTGTACAAACAATTATTTTTATTTCATGGATGAATTTCATTGGATTTTGTAATTTTGATTATTCCCAAATTTATTTCCAAGTTATAAAAATTGTTATTGTACAAAAAAAATTTGTAAAAAAATCACATCAAAAAAAAAAAAAAAAATCGACGAAAACAATTGCACTAATGAAAACTTAGGAATTCAAAATTTCAGGATTACATGTCCAGATCCAGCCTGGAATGTTTTTAATTTGCTCATGGAGTCAGACGGATTCCAAAAATGGTATGATATGTTGGGCTATGCCCTCTAGGAGTAAAGATGAAAACATGGACAGTTTATTTTGAAACACTGTAATTTGAGAACAGTAATTTTTTTAATTTGAACATGAGCTTTTAAAACTTAGAGGGTTGTGTCCTTTTAATTGTTTTCATCAGTAGAAGCTAAGATGGTGGAATCTGAAAACTATCGCAGTAATGAAAACTTGGGAATCCCAAATTTCAGGATTGTGGGTCCAGATCTGGCCTGGCCCAGAATGCTTTTGATTTGCTCACAGAGTCAGTCAGATTTCAAAATGATATATGTTGGGCTTCAGCCTCTAGAAGTAAAGTTGAAAAATGTGACACACTGACATTCACTATAATATATATATATATATATATATATATATATGACTGATATTAAATCATTAGTATGTTAGTGTTATGGGCTCGCCTGTTTAGTTCTACTCAGAACCTGTGCTCCGGGCAGTGATTTGTAACCCTCACTATCTTATCAACATTTGCTTTTTTCTACCTACATTTATATATGTTACAAATTAAACTAAGCACAACTGACTATTATAAGATGAAGAATTCTTGTGGATTTTGATAACATTCTGGGGTCTTGTTTTTTTTTGTTCAAATCTGATTTTTTTTGTTTATGCAAAGTCTCAAAAAATACTATATAAAATACACTATTTTTTATCCATAATGTATTAAAATTATTTAGCCTTTTAGAAAAAAAAACAAACTCAAGTTCTTGTTAAAAATTGCCTCAAAACATTGTTGATTTATTTAAGATGGAACAATCTATTATGGCATGTCTGTAATTTGTATTTAAATACATTGGATTTATTTTCAATTTTTCTAGTTGAATTGTTTACCTATATGGCATATAATCCATTATTGTACATAATTAGGTTACAATAATATTTGTATTTTATGTGTTGTAACCTAGAAAAGGTTACTGAATGAGGGATAACCAAAATGGAGGTGAGAAATGAAATGGTAATCTTTATAACATCAATAAAATACAATACTCACTCAGCATGAAGTAGGTAAACCACTGCTAGTGGTGGACTACTTAGACAGCATATTACCCCCACATACTATAGTGTCCAATGTATTTATGAAGATTGGGACATACCCATTAGAGTTCATTCGTTTGGTTTATTTTACAGCATATCAACCTTTTTATTGTTGGTAAGATTTTTTTTTCAAAAATCTATTTCTGGTAACATTTTTCCTTCAAATATGTATTGCTGGTAATATTTTTTTTTTCAAAAATGTATTACTGGTAATAATTTATTTTACAAAGTATTTCAGGTATTAAAAACTATTTTTACACTTTCATAGTGTTTTGACCCCATTTGGGTGTTAACTAATTGCCCATAGCTGAGACCCTAACAGGTGCTACCACCCCGGATCAGGGTGGACCTGGGAACACCAGCAATTAAGAGGTGGTTCCACGCTCCTCAAAACCTCCTGCTCAGAGGCTTTGCTGTTGGACATAGTTTATAGTCTTACCCAGGACATGGATGTAGTTTATCGTCATACTCAGGACAGTGTTCATAGGTATAGTACATAATACGAATACCACCTTATGAAAATCGAGATACAGAAGAGTGGGGGGTACTGTATCACAGATCCTGCAATGGGCATGGTACCCTTGCACCAGCCCTAGTTCTACTCATGCAAGGTGGGAGATACAGACAAAATTTATCCCTACACTGAATCAATTTTTAAATAGAAATGTCTTTTCAAACTCTTCATTAACTATTTCAATAAATGAAGGTTAAACCTCTTCGGTATTTTCCTCAGGTAAATTTATCAAACCACTTACCTACAGGGTTGAGAGCATATCCTCGTCTCTTTTCTACATAAAGATATCGTGCACACAATCTCATGAGCGGCCTTTCGAGAAGTTTTATTAAATGTTCGTCGTTTGCCCAACTGCTTAACTGCAGCATTTTCCGCAATTGCTCTAACCCTGATAATGAACTTAAATCAAAATAACTTTTCAGATTCTCCACATCCACTGTTGAAAATAGGGACATTTCAAGGCCTTCACCAGACTCTGAAAGGACAAAAATAAACAGATTTTAATTTTTATTGCAATGGACAAGTCATGAAAATGGAAACTCATTTCAAATGAAAACATTCAAAACTGAACAATGTTCATAAACAGATCAAATTTAAAAATATATAAATTACTTTAGAGTTGGTCGGTTTGGCAATTTATGTTTTGGTATCAGTTTCCAGTTTTTTATTCCTTGATATCACGGTTTTCGATTCGGTTTTTAATTCACTAATTTTGCTTTCTAAGGAAGCCATTCATTATCTTGTGTAATGATAGCATTTCCAGTCAATATCCAATTTCGTTTCAGATTGGTAAATTTGAAACTCAATCAACTCAGTCCATTCAACTCACAATATCACGTGTATTTCTGGTCCAATCTTAAAAAATATTCATATGGCTGGAAAGAAAATAAAATAATATTTCCAAATATGTAATTTGTATCTGCTTTTATTCATTGAATTATTTTTTACAGCAAGTTAAAATGGCATTGCTTTGAACAGCCGAAAATGTGAAATATGATACTTTCTTTTTTTCCGAGATTAAATTTTACACGTTACTTTGTTTCACAAAATCAAAGTGACCACTCTTTATCAATATTCTTGAAATTGTACACTCAATTAGAAGATACATTAAACTACAACTAGGAAGATGTTTATTTCTTCTCCGACCTGAGGAAGTGAATTCCTTCAAAAATTATAAAGTAAGCAAAAAATTAAAAAAATAGAGCAATTCTTTTTGGTACGCCAGTCAACTTTTATTGGGGTTTTGTAAATAACTTTCTTGTAAACAAGGAAAATCAATGAGTTATTTTATCCCCTAAATATATTTGTTTTTTATCTAGCAAATACACCTAAAAATAAATATTAAAGATAATTAAAAGCTTTTAATTTCATTTTTAGAATGTGTACATTTCAAAATCTGAGTGTATCACCTGTTCTTTTTTAGATACACATTTTTAAACTGAAATTAAAAACTATTTTAATCATTTTAATATAATCTTAAGTGTGTTATTCACCAGATAAAGCCATAAAGATATTTGTAAAAATAAAATAAAATGAATTTTCCTTGTTGAGAAGAATTTTATTTGCAGAACAGTAACAAACACCCACTGAACACTAGTGCCTAATAAAGAATCATTTTTACTTTGGGTTTTAAAAAAATGACTTTTAGTTTTGAAAATATACACATTTTAAAACTGAGATTAAAACTTTTTTTTACTATCTAATTTTAGGTGTATTCACTAGATAGAAACAATTTTATTTGTAGAAAACAAACCCGCATATCTGGAAATATACACATATTAAAAGTGAAATTAAGAATTATTTTAATTATTCTTAATATCTAATTTAGGTGCATTCCCTAGATAAAAAACAAATTTACTCATAAAAAAAAAAAAAAATCTTCATTCATTTTTCTTGTTTACTACAACTTTGTATTGTGATTGGTGCAACACTGGCTTTACTAGAAAACAATTACCCTTACTACAAAAAATCTGACTTCATAAAATTTAACATTAAGACAAAACTGGCAACTATTTTTATTTTTACTCACTATTTTTATGTTAATTTTATTACAAAATTTTTTTTGAAAACTGAAACAAATAGATTTCAGACTTCATGTCATATTTCCTTTTTTTTTTCTTTCTTCTTCATTTCTTTTGTAAACAGATTTCATATTTATTTCCTAAAACTAGTCAATTAAATGGCTTTAACATTTTTGTTCAATCTTTTTCTCTTACAATGGTATAAAGTGGTTAATTTTATTAACATGTGAAAGTCATTTTCAATAGTGTTTCTTTGGATATGGTCACTCGGTAGTGATAGTACTTAAAAAAACAATTTCAGTTTCATAAAAAATTTCGATGCAGTTTCATGGTGTGAAGTTGAAACCGAAAAAAGTGGGTCTTTTGGTTAAACCAGACATCTCCAAATTACTTACAAGCTACACCCACTGAAATTCTCTAAAGCTATGTCATTGCTCAGTTCATGGTATTCTCAGCATCCTTCTGTAGCACCACATTTCTGTTGCTTCAAGTCTCTTTTGCTGAAGTTTAAATATCTGGGAACTGTTTGAATAGAGGACGAGAAATGTGACACTAATCTAAAGGCACTAAAGGCACATTAGAATAGCAAAAGAGGCCTTCCAAAAACTAAGCAAAGTATTAAGAAACAGGAAAATTTCATTAAAAAATAAAAAAAATAAAAAAATAAAGAGTGCTGAAATGCAATATATTTGATAAGGTCAGTTGATGGACACAAGTCCCAGAGATTATAAAAAAAAAGAAAAAAAAAAGGACGTAGAGGGTTTGAATGGTTTTCTGCTGTCTATGAATTAAGCAATCAGCGAGAAAGTTAGAATTTTTTTTTTTTTTTAACAATGATGTTCACCCTGTAAAAAGCCCAAGAGCCACTCGAGGTAGAGAGTTACAGAGTAAGAGGTACAATTTATGCAAATATGTGGAGAAGGTAATGATTAGCTCTAGACTAGAACAGGTTGATTGTAGTAATCGAGGAAGCATCCTCTTGGGAGTTGGTTTCACAATGCAGTGGTTTGTGTGAAGAAGCTGCATGAGTGGCACTTACATCTCACCAATGAAATACGAAGGGAATGGGGGTGGTTTGCTACAATGTGCGTAGCATGGTGGAATTTCACCGAGAAGGTTAGAACTGGTGGATCTAAGAAATGTAGTTTGTCTGAACACTTTCCATAGAATGTGCGATAAAGCAGTGTGAGGCTTGTGAGGTTTTGTTTTTGAGAGAGGAATTCTAGGGTGGGAAACAATTCATCACACACAATGACACGGAAACACTTTTGAACTATAGAGACTAGAAACAAGGCTGGGCAGTCCTGCCCATATATAGCAGCAGTTCTCCATTTTCGACCGGAACTAGGTAGAGGATAGGATCAAGGATCAGGAATCAGGTACTTTCTGGAGCGGTTCAGGGCACCGACCATTTCTCCAGCATCTTTAGTGATGGATTTAAACCCTCTTTCGCAATATGTTTAAATTATGGTGAAGAAAGATATTAAAATAGTGAGGATTTGAAATACTTACGATATTTTTGAATGCTTTTTGTAATCTCTTTTATCAGCCATTCTTTGAATCCAGGAATCGGTGACAGGCTTGTAAAGTTACACATTTGAGGAAACTCAATTTGTAGTTCGCGTACCACTCGCTTGATTAAATAATTTCCCAAGTCGACACCTTGAAGTCCTGAAAAATTGGACAAACATCTTAAAAGTTTTGTCTTGCCATAAGTAATTCAGTGACAGCAAACCGAGGGAAAATCCTAAACCTTATGGTTATAACGTAGAATAAAAAAATATCAGTACTTCCTGGATTTACCAGACTATGATTATTTGGAAATCTAAACTGAAGAGAAAAATTTAAATTATCCAAAAATTTTTCAATTACCATGTTTCATAAAATACATCTATTGGATGCTTTAGTACACATCATCAGTGATGTTTTAACCCGAGGTTCATTAGGGGTTTCGTGTCTTTCAACATCATACCCACTCTCCACGGTGACCCAGTCGATACTGATCGGGCATCAACTTGTGTACCTTCTGTCAGCTACAACTTTTTTCCATCTTCCGAAGTGCACACCATACGACTCTTTTTGGCAACCATTCTAATATTTCATCTCAGGATTTGAGAATTTAGAAAACCTTACCCAATGTTTAATAAGATCAGTTCAATTAATTCTTGTTAATTTTCTCATTGTTTTCATACAAAGAATATATATATTCAAATTATCACGGTTTGGTCATGCCAAATGCGCGTGACACACATGAACCATGCTTCGATGGGAAAGGGAATGAGAAATGTCAAAGTTCAACAACTCCAATACCCAATTTCAAACATCAAAGTGATGATTATGTCTGACAAACATTTAAGTTGGTTGTGCTTTCAATCATAAGCGACCATTAAAAAATACAACTACTGTAATCCTGCATCAAGTGTTTGGTGACAAATGTGCAAGGCCAGCCAGGAATAGAAAAAAAAAATTGGTGTATTTTTTCTTAAAAAATAAACCGGACAAAACCATGAACAAATGTTTGAAAATGTTATTTGATGATATCATGAGACACTAATCCATTAGGGTCGGGGGGGGGGGATACCACATATACTGCAGACAAAATAGCAACAGTGTTTTTTGAACAAGATAGCCTTCTCAAGTTGGTTTTGAATTAAGAGTTTCTCCTTTTCCTACACTGGTTGCCAACCAAGGCTATAGGACCAATTTGAAGTTTCAAGAAAGCAACAGATTCCAAGCCAAAGTGAAAAATCGCAAATACTGTTTTATGTATGCAAGTGTATAATAATTCTAATTTGTCTATGTGGGATTCAGATTATAATGTATATTCACGTATGTGTGTGTGTCTAGTAGATATTATGATTGTTAGTTATTTGCATGTTTCTTTGGGAACTTTTTACATACATGCCATTTCTTTTAGATAAATATACGGTAAATTCTTTAGGAATGGATTCAATAAAGATTGGCAATGTAATACAATGTTTTTGAAGTGTGTTCACAGTTGGTAATATTGTTAGGCTCTTGAAGATCTTCCCCCGTAAAGAATTCTGTTCTTTTTTAATTAGGCTGGCATTAATAAAAATCAAATTTATGGCCAGTTTTGTTCCTGTGTACTATGATAGAGTTTATACAGTAAATATTTATTTTTCAATCTGTTCTTCCTTGTCAAAGCACTTAATTTATTGTTAAGCATTAATTACATAGATCAAACATTATAGAGAGAAAATTACAGATCAAAATTTGGCAGATTTATTAGTAATTCAACGACAGCAAACATAGAGAGAAAATTTTAACCCTTATGGTTATAACATATGGGATATACCCAAAGAATAAAAAAATATCAGTACTTCCTGGTGAGGTTTTGTTTTTGAGAAAGGAATCGTCTAAAATCGATTCAGTGAAGGTTAGTGATGTAATATGTTTTTGATGTGAATTTATTGTTGGTAATATTGACATAAGTAGGCCCTTGAAGTATAATTTATGGGGTTCTAAATTCAAGGAGAGACAACACGTCCCTTTGAATTTCCAAGAAATTAACGGATTCTGAGCCGAATTGAAAAACCCTAAACATTGCTTTATGTTTGTAAGTGTATAATAACTCTAGTTTGTCTATGTGGGATTCACAAGATAATGTATATTCATAAGTGTGTGTGTGTCTAGTAGATATTATGTTTGTTGGTTATTTGCATGTTGATTTGGGAACATTTTTATGTACATAGCGTTTGTTTTAGATAAACATATGTTAGATTCTTTAAGAAAGGATTCAATAAAGGTTGGCAATGTAATACAATGTTTTTTGACATGTGTTTATAGTTTGTAATATTGTTATTAGTAAGCCCTCGAAGTATTTCAGACGTAATTTGCGGTTTTTCAGAATCCTTTGATTTCTGATGGAATCTCCATGGTGTGGTGAGATGACCACACACTACACACTTTCCTTCCAAGTGCTGTTATAAACAGTGGAAGTAAGCAACATTATAACTTAGTGCATATGTGTGGTAATATGGTAGTTAAACTGAATGGGAAGCCTTTTGACATATCCATCATAGTTGCACATACGCTGACATCACAAAGTAAGTGGGAAGAAATTGAAAAGTTTTACTGTATACTAGACAAAGCAAATCACAGAAAATTGCAATAATCACTGGAGACCTAAATGCCAAAGCAGGGAAGGAGAGTGTCAGTGAAAATAGTTGAAAATTCAAACCAGGAACTTGGAAGAAATATGGAGAATGATGCATGACAAACAATCAGATTGTAGCCAACATTTGATTTCAAGAACATTCAAGTTGTATATGGACATGAAGTCCAGGAGATGAAAAGTTGTTAAATATTTAACCAGGCAATAAAGATAATTAATTTTGACAAGTATTTTACTGTTGTGGATTCATTAGGAGCTTATTCAATCATGAGCTTAGGAAATAAAATTCATCAGAAAATACCTTTTTGTGTGGACGTAATTGAATAAAAAACTGCAGTTGATATTTGATTCATATTTTCCACACTTTGTTCTTCCAACGGAAAAGTTTCAATGGACGTGCTTCTTCTCATAGGAGATTTGATGATGGACTGAAAACAAAATTGAATTGGTGTTTTATGCAAAATTTCAGAAATAGTTTACAACAGTTTCACATAAACCAAGAAGGCAATCATACATACTATCCAACAAAACAAATTAAAAATTCCTCAAATTATCAAGGAAAGTTAACGAATTGAGCCCAGGGTTTTAGGGTTAAAAAAAAAAATTCTAAACATACAAAACACAATGTGACTTTAATTTACTGGTCAGGCATCCTATTCTCCTCTATTTGATATAAGACGATTATTTGTTATAGAGACAGGTTATTATTTGATGCCATTTCATGTTGCAAATACATTGCTTTTTTTTTTTTATTTCTTTTGTTTCAGGAATAATTTTTTATTTTTAGTCATTTAAAAACATGTGCCAATAAAGCAGATTGTGTATGTATATATATATATATATATATATATATATATATAGATAGATAGAGAGAGAGAGAGACTGAATTTAACCAACAAGGTCAGTGTATTTAATTTTTTTATTGTAGTTTAGGAGAGAGACTGCACAGTGAGGTCATCTGTAACACAAGTGATTGATTTGTTTTGGTACAGCCTATGAAACCTTTGCAGATTATTTAAAGCCAGAAAATATTTTTTTTAGAATGTAAGAATATCTTGGATATAACAATGATTTACTAATACAAGTCCTACTAATTAACCCATAGCTGGGGGGAGAAGAGTTGGATTAATACCTTTCCCAAGGGCATTTGTGTATAACTGAATATTACAAACTCAATTGGAATTGGAAATTCACTCACAGATTTACAAGCCCTTATCCATTACACCAACTGCACATCCAAGCTTACAGCACCTGGTATTCTCAACCGGTCACCCAACTAAGCCGACATTGCTTAACTTAAGTGATGGTATGAGAACCAGTGTTTCAATGTAAGCCATCATGAGTGAAACTGCATGGTGATATGTGTAAAACTGCATGGTGACATCATGTGTAACGTGAGAGGGACCACATGGTGACAACATGTGTAACGTGAGAGGGACCACATGGTGACATCATGTGTAACGTGGGTGGGACCACATGGTGACATCATGTGTAACGTGGGTGGGACCACATGTTGACATCATGTGTAACGCGAGGGAGACCACATGGTGACATCATGTGTAACGTGAGGGAGACCACATGGTGACATCATGCGTAAAGTAAATGAGACAATACAGTGATGTCATATGTGATATAAATTATATGTAAAACCATATGGTGACAGGTGTTGCATGAATGAAACTTTATGGTGATATCATGTGTAACATGAGGTACGCCATATGGTAATGTCATGTGTAACTTTTACAAAAATGTACTATAAGCATAAATTCCTATGTGCTATATATGAAACCTAGAAGCCAATCTAGTAGCACACTTAAATTCATGCAGTCACATTACCAAGGAGGAAAGCTCATTAGAACAACTGCCATGAAAATATTTATAAAAAAAAAAGACAGAGGGAAGCCATGTCATGGTGTTGGGGAGAGGGACTGAAGTCGAGGTGCCAGGTCAGGACTGACTCTTTGGATTTTGTTGAGAATCTGCAGATATATATATAGCAGAAGAATCAGAAATGTAGATTTATAAAAGTGCTATTCTGCCAAGAAAAATTGTCTAGCACAACACAGTGAACCAACTTTCCTAGCAGCAGACCTAGCAACTGATTCAATATAATCGTTCCAATTCATGCTGGTGGAAAACATGAAGTGTTTACGGTTACATCTAGCTTTTTCAACAATGAAACCTAATTTCCAATCTAGTACTGCACTTAAATAAATGCAGTCGTGGTACCAAGGAGGAGAGCATCATTAGAACAACTGCCAGGAAAATAATTATAGGAAAGACAGATGGAAGCAATGTCATGAATGTGTGAAAGTGACTGAAGCCGAGATGCCAGGGCAGGACCATTAATAATACAGATCCTTCTTTGAATTTTGTCAAGAATCTCGAGAGATATATCAGGAGTACCAGACCAGATATGGCTGCAGTATTCAATCCACAGACGAATGGTAGATTTATAAATGTACAAACTGGGTTCTGTCGAGAAAAAATCTTCTGCCGTGACACAGTGAACCAACTTTCCTAGCAGAAGATGTAGCAATTGATTCAATATAATCATTCCACTTTATGTCAGTAAAAAATGTTTGTTATGATAATTCATTTTAGAGTGCCAATAATAATAATGATTTTTAGTAAAGAGTATTATTATAGAGTCAAGCAGGGTTAGGGTTAGTGACCGTCCAAGGTACAATTATAGCGTACAACAGAACGTTGGCAAATAAAATTAGCTTACAGAACCTCAACTCTAATCTCCAAAAATTTAAATGCAAGGTCAATCGTTATCTTTTGTCTTCTTAATTCTTGTTCTCTCTCCTTAATAATGTTTTTATTTTTTCATTCTCTCACACACTGTAATCACCCCCCATGTCTTTATGGCTATATTGCCTTGCTGGGGGGGGGGGGAATGATTATAAAAAAATAAATAAATATAATAGTTAAATGCCTTTGAATGTAGTAAAAAATTCCCAGCAAAGTAAGCTATAAAATGATTCCATTTTCAACAACCCATGTAACACAAATGATTTTGTATACGAAAATACTTTCCAATAGGAGTAGACAGGTTTGCCTATAATTCAGTTCACATTCCTCCACGGTCTTTTGAACAGGATTAGAGGTTTATTCCTTGATTCCAATTTAAGATTGGGTCTCTAGTTCCTTCTAAAGTTTACCTCAATTCTACAGTTCTAATTTCTCCGCCTAAAACTTTGAAATTTTATTTGCTATTCATTTGCTTTTTTTCCTCCCCTAAATAGGAGTAGTAGTTTGCACCTCTCCTTGATCTTTTGAGCACGACTAGAAATTTATTCCTCATTTCCTGTTTAGGATTTGGCTTATGGTTCCTTCTAAAGTCTTATTTCTCTTTCACTTCCGGTCCCCCCTTGCATGGAGTGGTGCCTCTGACTTTGTAATACTCTACCTTGAATGGCTTTTGGGTCTTCTAAAGGTGAACATTATTGTTAAGAAAAAAAAAAAAAAGAAAAAAAAAATATTTCTGACCAAAGAAATCCAAACTGGCCTAACCTGTATACTTCATATGTCAGTTTAATGCCTTGATTCCCAAAGTGGGCGGTACCACTGCCCCTAGGTGTGGTGGGGGCACTGAAGATCCAGAAGAGTGATGAGAAAAAAAGTGGGCAGCCAGTGAGTGGCAGTGGGATACCCAAACCATAACAAACACACACACACTGTACATGAAGTGAATCTTTACTTTACAGTGTATCCCATTTATAAAGGGTGTTCCAATAACTTGCACAGAAAGATTAACAATCAAACAACGTGTTAAAGATTCAAGAGTGCAATTGGGAAAATTGTTCATAAATTCAAACAAACTAGGTCGGTGGCAGATGTGAAAACACCATTTACGCCATTCAGGTGAAAACATTGCTGCAGTGCACAAGAATGTGGCCAAAAATACAGACCCCCTCTATTCATCATCACACACAGGAAGTGAACCTCTCCACAACAATGTTACATCATTTCCAAATGCACTCTCGGTTGGTCAATTATGTTGACCAAATAATAATAAAAAAACCAAAAAACACAAAGTGCACAAAATGCATTTCTGTTTGAACATCCATTTTTGTAATAGGCTTCGATAACTTTAACATGTTTGATTGTTAATCTTTCCATGTTTGAAATTGCCAAAGATTTAAGTTGCTGAATCTGAAAGAAAAAGAAAAAAAATCATTAGATGCTTAAACTTAATTCACATTTAAAATCGGCCCAAGTTATTGTAACACCCTTATATATATATATATATATATATATATATATATATATATATATATATATATATATATATATATATATATATATATAATTGGAACACCTTTATAACAATTATTATGAGAAATAATAAGATACTCAAAAGTTGACTATACATTGGGGAGGAGGGTGTTAGGGTTATGTTTTAGTATGCAAGAGGGGGGGGACCCAAAATAGTTTGGGAACCACTGGTTTAATGTAAGCCTCTTCTTTTTTCCCCTCTGCCTATCACTATTCCCTATCTATTATATGGGCCTCATCCCTAAGCAGATAACATGAGTCCCTTGTGTCTTTTGTTTTTTAAATTAATGTTCACCCAATACAATGTCCAAGAGCCACTCAAAGTAGAGTCTTACTGAAAGAGGTTGTATGAGAGATAAGAAGTGCAGCTCTCTGGTAATGCTCTTTTATAATAGTTGTTTTTAATGTCTTCTATTGTTAAACATTGACCTAGGTAAAAGTTACCAGTGGAGATAAAAAATTGTAGCCTACAGGACACTTTATGCACATATAAGATTCAGAACAATTCTTTTTAATTTAATTGGTAATTTCTGTACTTACATGAATACTTGATGGAATTTCATTGGTAAGAGCCGTGTGAAGTACGACGACAGGTTCTCGGGGCATGCTATTGTGAATAAAGACGAAACAACGACGATAAGCTCCAACTCGATGCTTCAAGTCAGTCCAATTACGAACAGGATGAACAGCTTCATACTGTGAAATCTGTAAAAATAAACATTTATTTTCACATCTGCAGATACAGTCACACTTTCATTTTCCAAAATTTCAGTTTGCTTTATTTCAGTTACTCATGGTGTTCAATGCACGAAATAGTGAATTCATAAATCTGACATAATAATAGTTTCAAAGCTCAAGTGTAACAATGCTGGCAATTCGGTTATGTCAAAGACAAAACCATGTTTCCCGCAACTGAAATGAGAGGAAAAAAAAATTGGGCAAACATGGATAAACATGTTCGCAATAAGACAGTGTCAAAAGATGGTTTTTCCCTATGACACCACTTTTTTTTTTTTTAACTACCTTCACTCCTCAGCAACATTTATTGTTTTTAAAAGCGATGATTAAATTGTAAAAAAACAAACATATGAAAACGAATTTATACATTTTTTTTTTTGTTCTTGTGAACTGACAACAAAAATAATAAACACTATTTATTAGATTGTTTATTTACACTATTTATTATATTGTTTAATGAAATGGTTGGTAAAACATTGGCTAATTGCCAATTGATTCAAACTTTATAAAATGGTAAATAATAAGGATTTCCCTATAGTTGGTTCACATATTTTAATAATTAAGTAAATGTTTATAAATTTATGAATAAAAAATTGTTTTCATATTTATTTTTTTTATAAATTGGTAAATGATAAATATTGTGTTAGTTTTTAGTTTTTTAGAATGTTGTAAATATAAAATTGTTCTTGTAAATAAATAACATTTAATATTTTTGTTGTAAATTCTCAAGAACAAAAAAATGTGTAAATTCATTCTCATCATTATGTTGATGGTTTTATTAAAATTCTAATTATTGCTTTTTAAAACAAACATTGTTGCAAAATATTTGTATTCTTTCTGCTTAGATTATACTATATTTCTAGTCAAGACTAACAATGGAAGTAACAACTACCTGGCTGTGAATAAGTAGTTAAAAAAGCAGTGTCAAGGGAAAAACCATCCTTTTGACAAGATGCCTTATTGCAGGCACATTTATCCATGTTTGCCCTATTTTCTATAACCAGCTTGCCTGCCAACTTATTCACGGCCAGGCAGTTGTTACTCCCATCATTAATCTTGATTAGAAATACATATGTCCCGGAAAGGGATATATTTAATCGAAGTTGCTAAGTGGTTTTGGCTACTATAACCAAGTAGAATAGAGTAGCAGTAATCGACTGGTATGCGTCGTAGTCACAGGTAAGAAGTGTATATCAATGGCGTAGTCCAATGGGCGTCATTATAGACTTAGCTCTCAGACTAAGGCTCTGACTGTTGTACTTACATGCCCGTCAGTATTTATGACAGACACCAGCCAATCATATTCCAGTGAGAGGGAAAACAGGTGTACACATATTCCATTATATCAGAAATACAGTATAATGTAAGCAGAAAGAATACAAATATTTTACAACATTCTAAAAACTAATACAATTAGAATTGTATGGTGATTTACTAAGTGTAGCTTAGATGTGACACAAGGCCAAAAGGATTGAACTCACTATTCAATCATAATTGATCTAACAAGACAGGCTTAATAACCATTACACCACATTTAAGTGCCCAAATGATTTTCTAAGCATACTTGTGGCACAACACCGAAAGGGTAGGGCACCCAGTGAGGATCAAATTCACTACTCAGTCATAATTTTTTTAGCAATTCAACCTTGCTAATCATTACACCAGTATGAAGTGCCAAAGAGGTGATTTTCTAAGTATAGCTTAGATGTAGCACAAGGCCAAAAGTATGGAGCATACAGTGAGGATTGAACTCCCTACTCAGTCATAATTGTTCTAGCAAGAGAAGCTTGTTAACCATTACACCATGTTGAGGTGGCAAAACAATTAAAATTATAATCTGAGATTGCTAAGATCTACTGTAAGAATGGCACTTCTGTCACATAATTCTCAGGACATACTATGACACAGTTAAGATTTCTCTCAACATAGCGAATAAAGATAAAATGATGTTGATTTTAAACCTCAGCTGCTCTGTAGACATATCCAAACACAGAAATGGCTATGGAAGTAAATCCAGACAGAAAATTTAGAATGGATCCCAAAAGCAGTTAGCTGTTAACACTTACAACCTTCCGGGAATTCCTGTCATTAATCAAGTCCAAATTGTAATGCCCCATATTCTTTTGGATCTTGTTAGTACAGCTGAGAGGAGGATCATGCACTTTGGGCAGTGCACAGCCTCTATATATCATTGTCAGTGCTCTTCAGTGATCACTCCAGTCTCACTCACAAAAGGACTGAATTTTGACAAAACAGGCCTCTAGCATTATCACATGAGATAACTGAATATCTACAATACACACACATATATATATATGTTTAAAATGTCTTATATTTATAGAGAAAGAGTTTCTTAATGTCAAAGATAGAACGTTTATAGATATAGACAGTGTGGGCATAGGAATCAACAATACAAGGTGACCGTTAGTTTCATACTTCAATGCACTCTTCCACTTCATGTGTATCTTTGTGCATGCAAAAGTAGTTCTATGTTTTTATAAAATGCAAAAATAATTCTGTAGCCTAATAATGAACAAAGCATTTATATTACAAAACAAATATTTACTTTTTAACATGATGAGATAATATATATATATATATATATATATATATATATATATATATATATGTCTGTCTATTTTTATTTTAATCCTTTCAAATTCTCAAATCAATTTCTTAGTGTTACTACAAAACTGATTAAGAAAGACGCTGTAATTTCGGTTATTTCTTTTATTTTCCCCCAAGTACTTTCATTCTCATCCAAGATCATCTTCAGGGGTGAATTGCTAAGACAAAAATTAATGTAATTGATAGTTGTGAATATTTTTGTAAATGCTCATGTAACACGCTTTGTTATAGTTAATTTAAAAATTAATTATCTGTCTATATTTTTGAGATGAGGTATTATAACACATGATATTCTAACACATGATTATGGATAGGAATGTTCTTTAAAATGTTGTGCAATAGAACTTGAATCTGACATGTAAGCCTTCTAGATAATTTTTGTCATTGTAAAACCAATATATATATATTTACTTTTTTGTATCTCAGACAAAAAAGCAAATATATATGTTGAGATTTCAGAATAATTAAAAGGGTAATAAGCAAGTGTGTCCTGTGAGGTTCAAATTCTCCAAATCTTGACTCATTTTATGTTGAAAAAAATTTCAACTATCTCTGATTCTAAGAATTACTCTCTTTTCAGTTGCCATTTTTTAGAAAAAAACTTCCTTATTCCTGACATGTTCTGTCTATAGTATCCCTGGCTGTCTTCTCTAGAAGCACAAATTGCTTCAAGTTTCCTCTTCATCTGTGAGGAAATTGTCCAACATTCAGTGCCACAGAGTAGAATTGATATCACATAGCATTTCAGCATGCTTTTCTTTGTTTCAAATGAAAATTTCCTGTTTCTTAATATTTTTTTTTTGCTTTTTGGAAGGCAACCTTTTGCTATTCCAATACATCTTAAGATTTTGGGGGTCACATTTTCCATCCCTTCATTAAAACACTCTCCAGTTAGTTTCTGTTTCTGTATTTGCTTCATTTTGACATCCCCAGTTTTTAGCCTGCATCTTGAGCTGCCCCTCTTACTAACAACCATAAATTCTGTAATTTTTCTATATGTTTACATTTTTATTTCAGTAAGGGAATAAAAAAAAAAAACATATCAAATGTTGATATATTTTCCTTGGTTATACCTCTACTCCTAAATGTTACTCCTGTTATAAAATAAAATGACATATCTCGGCTGATTTACAGGCAAATACTCAAGAGCGAGAACCGGATGTGAACGGGACAAAGCCCCGTCACAAAATGACCATTAACTTTCTTTACAAATGTTTCCGACACACGACACACGTGTTCCGGTCGAAAAATAAAATAATAATTAAAGTGCTATTTTTTTCGTCTAATAAAAATGCTTCCCTCCTAATTATACTCGCTTCGTTTCTCGAGCCTGTTAAGCCATAAAAAAACGCTATAAAAGGGGTCACAGGGAAGTTCAGCAGCAGTCAACAGGTGGCCACAAAGGAGACTGGTCAAGTCTAGCAGCTGTCAGCAGGAGAGCGTCAACCACAGTCAACATGTGTGAACTACTATGAGAGATCGACCTAGATCAGAAAGCCGGCTTATGAACTTTACCACACCAAGGTAGCTGTCCCTTACGTTCCTGTTGAAATAAACCACGTAAATCTATTTCTACTGTTGTTGTATTTCTTTCTTGCAACCATACGCTTGTCTATAACACTCCCTAAAGAAGTTCTTTATTTAAAGATCTACTGCATTTTACTGAAGGTATATCCAAGTGATTAGAAAGTATTTCTAGACTTTTGATATCCCACAACTTTACAAAAAGGTACCATCACAAGAATGCAGGATTGTCTGGCCAGATTATACTCTAAGCTAGTATAGGCTGCAGACTAGGGCCTCTCAACCTTTTTCATTAGTTCAGATTCTTTAAATCTTAGAAATTTGTATTAAACAATGATTTTAATTTTCTATATATTATAACTTCTAAATAGTTTCATAAACTGAAATGATATCAATACAACAAACTTTTATTTATTTGACTTTGCAGGAAACAAAGCAAGGAAAAAAACGTTTTAGTTTATGTCATTCTGTTTCAAGTAGATAATGATTTTAGTCCAGAATGTTTAAATCTTGGAAACTTTTATAAAGCAGTGATATTAATTTTCTAGATGTTATAAATTCTAAATTAGTTTCATCAACTGAAATAATATCAATATAACAAACTGATATTTATTTTGATTGTTTTGTTATAAAAATGTTAGTAGACCTTGGCTCAGGTACAAAGATAAACTGAAAAGCAGCCTTTCTTGTATCAACATACCATTCAAAAACTTTGAAGAGGTAGCTATAAAGAGATAAGAGTATCGTTCTAGCTGCCATGCAGGAATAATGCACCATCAAGAAGTAAGCATCATTCGACTGCGTGAAACATGAAAGTGAAATAAAACAGCTAACAGTGTTCCTGCTGCACTTGGATACAATACATTCTCTTGTACTGTTTTTTTTTTGCGCAATTCTCGAACTGGCCTCAAAAGTCATGCCCATTATAGGCATGCAGATAATTGGTAGGTATTCATCGGAACCGTATATGTCAAACTCAATGGGAGAGTCCATCATTGTCATAATACTGGTTATAAAAAAAATTTTTTTTTTTTTTTTTTACTACAGTTGTGCTAATTTGGTTTGCAATAAAATAGTAAAATAGTTGTATTTCTTAAAGAATATTTTTATTGACAAACAAAAGATTCTAGTTTATTTAAAGAATAAGATTATTTCAAGCTGAGTAAATGTCGCTAAAATATATCAGAAGTAAAAAATATTCAAGATGGGTCTGGGCAAGTTAGAAGGTGGTTCCATAATTTCATTAGCTTAGGGGCTCCAGAAGGTCATAATCTGGCCCTGTATATATTTTTGTTGAGCTGTTTCTGTGAAAATACTTAAAGATGATTTTTATTTTACATTTTATTCTAATCTGGTATAAGCAATAGCAGTTCTAATATGATTGGCTCATTGACAATTTTTCAAGCAAATTAATTGTTTGCTTTGAAATATTATTTAAAAAAATGCAAAAAACAACTTTGCATTCATACACACGAAATTGAAAAATACTATACATTTGTTTGATGATTTATTCAGAATATCATTTTAAATGTTTGAGGTTGCTAGTACAAATAATTCATCAAATAAGACCAACTTCACCTCAGAATTTCAGATATATTAAATTTGGTACCACCAAAAAAAATAAAATAAAATAAAAATTACTTCTAAATAGTTTCATAAATTTAAATGATATCAATATGACAAACCAATAATTATTTTTATTGTTATAATGCTGGTTATAAAAATCTGTTTTTTTTTTACTACAGTTGTGTTGAAATACATGCCAATTTCATTTGCAATAAATAGTAAAATAGTGATATCTCTTAAAGAATATTTTTATTGACAAACAAAAGATACCCATTCTAGTTCATTTAAAGAATTTACAATAAGCTTACTTCAGTATCTGTCTATATTTCTGAGATGAGTTATTATGTACACTATTTACATTATTCAGACTATTGTCTTCATCTTTGTTGCCATATTTATGCAATGATAACAGCAAAAATTGCAATATGAGCACTGGTAAAAATAATGGTTGCTGAAGACATTAGGTTTATAATACCCAGAAATTCATACACAGATGTCCTCAAGCAAAGGTGTTAGTTAGATCCAGTGACAGGACCCAAAGAGTGTGAGTTCAATACCCAGTTAAGGCAGTGGAGAACTTAGAGAGGGGAATTAACAGGAGATAACAGACAACTGACATCCATTAAGATAGAATTACAACAGTCTACCCCAGTGAGCAAAATAAAGGGTTCAGTTTGATATTCCAACCACCTGAAGAAGCCAAAACGTAATAAATATGGCGACAAAGATGAGGACAATAGTCTGAATAATGTAAATGTTTACTTCAAAGCGTATATATATATATATAAAATTGTCACTAAAATAGATCACAGTAAAAAAAAAAAAAAAAAAAAAAAAATTATTAAAAAATATTGGCTCCATCTAGGTTGGGAGTATGTTTATTAGCCTAAAGGTCATAATCTGACCTTGAGCATTTTTCAGTCTCACCAAAAGCAGCAACTATTTTTAACTTCAATACAACACCAGATAATTCAATGAAGAACAACAATAATTCAAACGCCATTAAAATGGTAAATATTTTAGCAAGCCTACCTTCTGTACCATGTCACAGGGTGACTGCCAGGTAATCCTCTGTAAATTCAATAAACCAACCGAAAACCATAAAACAAGCAAATCCTTTAAGGTGTAGTTCAACACTCGCAAATGCAGATTTCCTTGATTCACACCAGACTGCGTTAATGCATGCTGCACAAAGAAAATATCGACAATCAAATAAACTATATTAGAAATGTACTGAAAATAAGAAGAAAAGGGATTGTCAAGGTTCAGGAATTATGATGACTCCTCGATACCTTCATATTCCATTAGTAAAAAAAGAAGTTCCATTCTAACATCTCCTTCCCAAGAGCCGTTGCTTTGTGGAATAAACTGCCAATAGGATGCTTCCATGATTGCTACAATATTAACCTCTTCAAGTCTTGGGACAACCATTACCTATCTAAGCTCTCCTCATAATCTGCACTTCATACCTTCTCCACTTACATCCATAAAACAACCTCATTCAGTAACCCTCTACCTTGAGTGGCTCCTAGGCCTTGGATTGGGTGAAAAATAGTGTTAAATAAAAACAATAAATTAAACTCAGTTTTCTGACTGGGATCAAAGTGTAATAGCTTTTCTTTTCTATTGTTTCTTGTTTTAAGCCGTTCACAGAAAAAACAATGAGAAAAGCCACATCTTGTGGATTCCACTCCTACAACAACACCAGCCACCATTGCTCTAAAGAATTGGTAACCCTTTCCTTGTAACAATATCCACAAAAGATACACTTTGTCAGAGAGTAATAGCCCTCGAGCTAGGCTGTGATTTTGATCATCCCTAGATAATTTGTAACCTTGTACAGTGAGACTCGGATACAAGATAAACCCGGATATAAGAGAGATTTTCACTGGTCCCAAATTAGAGCCTGTCTTAATGTATATAAATTAGACCAAACCCGGATATAAGAGACTTCTTCTCCGGTCCCGACAACTCTCTTATATCCGGGTTACACTGTATCTGACTAAAGTTAGATTAATAGATTTTTATGCATGCATCTACGTCATTAGAGAATGCGAGACAAGGTAGGAATTTAATGTGAAATTTCCAGAAAGGCATTCAAAAATTACTGAATCCCCCTCAGTATCTCATTTGGGGACGCCGAGGGCATCAGCATTTTCCTGAAGGAGAGGTATTGCTGTTTGGGGTGGGGAATCCTGGAGCGGTGGGGACTTCCTGGGTATATATAACCCACCGGTACCAGTGGCTGGTGTTCAAGCCCAGCTAAAAGCAAGATTTCAAATGCTGATTTAACAGGATCAAGGCAAGCTTATATGAAAACACACTTTCTGTTCACTTATTTTGGGTTAATTTCAGATATAATAAACAAGTTTTATTTATTGACCCGACTTCTCTATGATGGTGGGTTGTCACACAAGGTCTTTTTTTTATATATGGGGGTGATGTGGGCCAAGTACAAAAATTGTCCAGTCCCCATGGCCACTGTCATGCTGGTGTTGATATTACACTGACCTTAGTGCAATGAGAGAGGTGCTGCCACTGGGTTGGAATCCCCAGGACCAAGCACCTTCTTTTTTGAAAAATGAAGAATACTATACATTTATGATCTTGGCCTATATGTATACATATCGTAATATCAAGCGGGCTAATTTTAAAAGTGAGATGCTTTGGACATCAAGATTTAAATGCTGAGCATTCTTGTATCTTTAACGTTTCGATGTAAACTGTCACTGCTTTTTGCTGTATTTCGCTTTAACTGTTTTTTTTACTTTTTTTTTTAATCATTTCACCCCAAATAAGGCAATAAAGCTGCTAAGATACTGAGTGTGAGAGAACATGAGAAAAAGAAAGCATTATTAAGGAGAGATAACAATAAAAGAACAGGAATTAAGAAGACAGAAATAATGATTAATATTGCATTTAAATTTTTGAAGATTGGAAAGTAAGAAGCCAGAAGAGAGTTCTACAAGCAAGAAGTGCAATAGGAGAAACTGTTAGTATAGAACTTATGGTTACATCTCACCATTTCAACTGTAAAATAAGAAGACCTTGCTGCCAGTCTAGTAAGGTCTAATTTCCATAGCGATAAGTTCATTAGAACAATTACCATGAAAGCATTTATAGAAAAGGCACAGGAAAGCTACATTACGATGTTGGGAAAGTGACTGAAGTCGAGATGTCAGGTCAGGACCATTAACATTGGATTTTCTCAAGAATCTCTAAATACAAGGACACCAGAACAAATGTGGCAGCAATATTCAAAGCAAGATATATTAATATGTAACATAGAAGACTGATTCCCTCAATAAAACCTTCATTAGTCTGAAGAAGATCCTTCTCAGAACAAAATGTGTTACCACAGTTCTTTGTCTTGTGTATGTGGGGTGGTTGGTTGATTTTGTTTAGTGGCATATCAACACCTCTATGGGTTATTTAATGCCGAAATCTAAATATTTTGATTGGTTGATTTTAAACTTACTACAGTCATCGCTCTTATTTTCTGATTATGTTGTGTATGGTTAACCATACTTTCAAAGTGGGATAAGTTTATATCTCTTATCTTATCTTATTATAAAACGCAGGTTGTGTGTGTGTGTGTGTGTCTGTAACGTTTATATATTGGATCGAATTTCCTACATTTTTTAGCCGATTTCAACAAAACTTCACAGGACTATATAAAATTACCTTGTGGTGGTTCTAACAGGGCCGAAAATGGGAAAAATACAGTTGTTTTTTAATAAAATCAATTTGAAAACATGATTAAGACACATCGTGAGAATGAAAGGGGGAGAACTCACCCACGAAAATGTAAACAAAAGAGCATAGCATGATAAAAAAGACGCCGAACATGACGAAAACAAAATTTTATCATCTAATGTTCATATTATTATTAAAGAGGAAAGATCAAAGTATTTTGGGGGTAGTTTTTTACATTTTTTAATCGTTCCTAGCATGTCTGAAATTTTCGTTAAAAATATTGTTTTTTTTTTGGTCAAAACAAAGGGCAGATAATCATTTTCAATCATTTTTTCGATTTGATAAAAAAGATTAAAATCTTACTTTGATATTCTTTTAAAAGTCAATTATCATTTTTCAAAACTGATTTTAATAAAAACAGATATTATACTGTTTATTTAAAATATTTTGAACCAAGCTTAACTTAGCTTCTACCGAAAAAAATGTAATTTGAAAATAAAACAAAGCAGGTCATAACCTTTCGCGTCACTTGACGAAAGGCACATTCATGACGTTTAGATAACTTACGGGAGGAGAATTCTTTCTACGGATGGAAGGAAGTGAAATTATTTAAGTGAACAAATTATTTACCTTGTTACTTTTAAGGAAAACTTTCAGCGCTCTAATTTTTTTTTTTTTTTTTTTTTTTTTTTTGTACTTAGCTTTCATTTTTACGTTTACGATGCTTTTATGGAAAATATAAAGAAATTAAAAAAAATAAGACTGTTAATAGTGAGATTAAATTTCATAAAAAAGGTATCTAATTAATTTAGGTACCTTTCTTATGAAATTTTATCAGAAGTGTACATAAAATGCTATAATTTTATGTACATTTATTACATTTTACTGTGTTATTTGTATTTCCATTCATTTTATTATTAATTTTGATATTTCATTTATGGAAAAATGTCATAACTGAGATTAATATAAAAATAAGATCATATAAATTAAAGTTTAGCAGTAGTTAAATTTCATAAGATGATACTGTTACTTGTAGGTACCCTTCTCAGTTGAAATTGAAAACTCAAATTAACTTCTCCATACGTGTTTCGCAAAAGTAAAGGGCTTAACAGCGGAGAACAATGCTGAACTCAAATAATGCAACTAAATTGTATTCTGGTTGGTCTTCCATACTTGATAATTACTGTCCGACAATAAACACAAAAATTACCATTTCTTAATTACCATGGCTAATCTGATTGGTCCAAATTATACAATTTTCAAAGCGCTAGACAATGACAATCTCACACGGACATTTTGAAAGGTTGATGTTGCTTTTAACTAATGTTAAAATATTTTTAAAATTCAATTTAAACATTTTTAAAATCTTTAAAATTAAAGAAATAAGAAATAATTGTATTAAAATTCAATTTTCATTGAAAAAATTTTTGCTTTCAGAAAATATTGTCCATATTCATAAAAACAAATTAAAACAAATAAAAGCATTTGAAACTAAATGTTTTATTGAGTTTTGTATGTTACAATTCACAGCTGATTTTCAGGTACGTTGGCAAAAAAAAAAAAAAAAAAACATGATTTGCATTCTTCAAAGCCTTGTGCTTTTAACTATTGTAATCACTAAAACCGATGGTCTTAAACATAAAAAAATGTCTTTAATAAATAAATTGTCGGACCTTGTCCATTTCTTAACATATGACGTCATTTGTTTACATTCGATACGCCAGAGCAGTTATGAATGTACGAGATTCATGGAAGATTGGAGTTTATAAGCAGTAAATTCGACCTTGTCTACCGATTGGTTCTTTGTAGCCTAGAGGTAAAGACACGTCAGCGTATATGACGGTTCCGTATAGGATGCAGGTTGAATCCTGTTTTAAAAGAACGAAAATTTTCTATGAAAATTTCTCGGACATTCAGGGCGGTAAATGTTATTTAATACTGTTTATCATAAACAGAGCATTTGCTTAAATACTTGTATCTATAAAATAACAACGTTAAACATAAAAAAATGTCTTTAATAAATAAATTGTGGGACCTTGTCCATTTCTTAACATATATATATATATATATATATATGTGTGTGTGTGTGTATTTATGTATAGGTATATATATATATATATATATATATATATATATATATATAGCAAATATATGGATATAGATCTGACAGTATGAAGAAAAAAATATACGGGAAAAAAAAAAAATCCTAATATGCAATTATGCTGTTTTAATAACATTAAAACAGCATAATTGCATATTAGGATTTTTGTTTTTTTTTATATATATATATATATATATATATATATATATATATATATATATATTATAGGTATATATGTATGTACATATATATGAGAGAGAGAGTGAGATAGATGGATAGATAGAAAGAAAGAGAGAGTGAGTGAAATAGATAGAGAAGCTTATCTCTCCTTTGATGATAGGTCTTGTTTTTCATCCTGTAAGGTGACATTCTAGCCTCCTCACCAGCAGAAAAGCTAGTAGGGGAGCTGATTTAGATGCTAACTATCCATGCAGCAGGTTATACTGTGTTACATGTTACCAGTAGCAGGATGGAGCCATTTCTTCAAAAAACAAATAAAAACTTCATCAAGACACAAGATAAAAAAGAAATTCCACGTACTATTAAGTCTCCACGCATGTCGACTAAAAATTTAACTCCTCCTTCAATACGGCTGATATTTGTGAAAAGCATTTTGTATCTTGGTATCAGAGCATGATGTAACTGTTCTTCAGCTTTTAGTATGCTAATTTTCTCTTCCTGTGAAATAAAAACAAAATAAATACAATTAGACACTGAGGTCAACAATGAGTGGCAACAGTCTGTTTGAATGCAATCTTCAGGCTTCCTTTAATATATTTTATATGCTCTGTCTCTGACATTGAGCACTTTTACCCATAAATATAGCATACCTTAAAAGTATATTTTATCATAGTATATATTTATATATAAGTAAGTGAATGTAATGGATTCAAATGGAATTCCAATTCAGCTCTCCAATTCCTCAATCCGAGCCACTATCCACTACTCCACTGTGCCTCCTCTAAAAGGGAAAGATATTAATCCTCTTTTTCTCCCTCCAACTATGGGTAAATAGCAGGACAGACTGGGTTCTATAGCCTTGGATGGCAACTGTCCTAGGAGAAGGAAAACTCTGAATTCAAAACCTGCAGTGTGTCATTTGGGGACCTTGTAGCACGTAGTGCGCCAGGTCTCTTCAAAAAGTGTGGTTAGTTCTGCACAAAGCCTTCACTACTATAATCAAATCATATGTGCTGGTGTCTGGCTGTCAGTTCCTAGGAACTGAGCTGCCTCATACATTGAATATAATGGGAGAGTCCACCATATATAAGTATCACACATTGAATTGCTGTTGTTTATAAAATAGTGCTTGATATATAATAACAGGGCAAAAAATTAACCAACCAAATTCACAAACCAACACTTATCCACTTGGCCATTGTCCCATTTACTACAGCAAATTATCCTACAGGACAATGGCCTAGCAGATAATGGCCTAAATCTGGCTGCTGCTTAGGTTGCTGTCATGTTTTGACTGCTGCAAAATGTTGTGATACCAAAAAAGATGAGGACAAATGTCCAAAGTTTAAATAATAAAGATAGTAGTTGAAATAATTCAAGGAATTATTCTTTCTTTGTCATATTTTTTTAGCATGAAATAACATGAAAAGTTGAGATTTAGAATCTTACCACAGAATTTAACATATTCTTTGATATTTGAATCACTCTTGCATGATGAACACCATAACTCTTGGACAAAACTTGCAGAAACAAATTCTTTTCGTCTGGCATCAAATTCTTGTAAAATGAACAGAAACTTTTGCATTTTTTCTGAAATTAAAAAAAAAATTTCTTAAAAATCTATATTATAAAAATCATGTGTATGTGACTTTGCATGCACATATCTAACACTAGCAGGCATACCCAGCTGGTCAATCAGAAAAAGTGTTCAAATAGAATGGAGCAAAAACAGCATCATGTTTAGATGTAACAGAGTATCTTCTTCAATTACTTTAAAGTGCCTTCATTAAAAAAAACATTTTGAATTAATGCAGTTACTGATATAACAGAAGTAGTCTGTATTTATTCAATCAAACTGAGGACATGAAGGGGGAAACAGGCAACATGAAAACCCACTTCAGATCACAATTATTTTGGAGTTTTTGAAATTCAATTTGTAAGTGTGCTACCAGGGATGTAAAAGAGGATACATTTATACAGCAATTGTTAAGTTTGATGAAAACTGGTTGAAAGATCAATGAAAACTAAGAAAGAAACCAGTAAAAAAAAAAAAAAAAAAAAAAAAATCGCCATTTTTCACTATTTATATGGGTTTTTCACTATATGGGTGGACTCGTTTATCAAGTTAAATGACTGTTAAACAATCAACTTATTGTTGGCTGCAATTGAGTGAAGTTTGTATTAGATTGCTTGGAAATTGAGGGAGTTTTTAGTTTGAAATTTGTGTTGAAAGTGATGTAGAAATAAAAATGAGGTACTGTTAAGCTCGTCATGATGTAAGTAACCTACATACTGAGTTTGAATGAAATCAGGAAAAAAGTTGAATTTATCGATTTTTGATTGGCTTTATCTATAATTGATTTTTTAAAAATCATCAATTTTTTTATGCTAAGAACCTATCTCTTACGTTGTACAATGTATGTGCCAAGTTTGCTCAAAATCAGATCTTGAGTGAAAAGGTATCACATAGACAGGCACACAGACATCCTCAGTTTTATATATATATATATATATATATATATATGACATATGCAAATATCTATGTTCTGCATGAGTGATTTATATATACTTGGGCCATTTAATATACACACAAGCTCACACATACAATTTGACCGAGTTTCAAATAAGACATTCCATTGTCATTCCATCTGAACAAGCTTGACCACAGGCTAAGAAATAAAAATCATATAATTTGAGAGAAGAAAAAAAATGTTAATTTTTAAATCAAAAAAAAATTTTTTAAATAATTACCAGCTATAGGTTAATTAGTAGAATTTGTATCACTATAAGCCATTATTATCTCCAAAAATTTCTTACAATCTAAAAATATTTTCTGCCTTTAAATAACCTGAAAAAGGTCAATAAGTCATAAAAAAACAAATCAGTTAAATAAAATTAAACACCTCAGATTGTTTAAAATATAACTTGCAGAGTGGCAGCAGAGAAGCCAGGTGCAAGTTTGACCCAAGATTATCTCCACGCCAACAAGTGCAGGCCTACATGATCAACCAAGCTGCACCTGGAATGCATATGTGGTAAATAACCATATGACCAATACATAAACATCCACCCCAAAAGGGGCTCAGACATTGTGGATGAAAGATCCAATCATGCATTCTCATTGGTCAACGCAATATGTCATGTCATTCAGGATGTGAGTGATCATATAACACCATCCAGTCACCTGATGAGCTAAAGGGCTCATTAAATATCTGATAATGGCTGTAACTCGTGAATTTCTTTCATCAACCATTGGTTGCAGTGACTTCTACAGTTGTCAAAAAGTCCAGTCGAATGCCCACGTTGTGACTGATCTCGAACAACCAGAAATCTGCTGCAAGAGTTGGTATACCATGGCTAACGGCGGCTCTGACAGTTATATAATGAGGGAGATAACAACTCTTTTCAACTTTAGGAAATCATTTATACAAGGTAATATCAGAAAAAAAAATACAAGCTTAAAAAAATCTGTGGGAGTGATGGTTGATTATTACCTTAAGATTTGGGCTTTTAGTTTCTCACTCTGGGCGTCTAATTGTTGGTTTTAGGTTGGTACATGATCATGGGTTCAGGAGATAGCCTAGTCAGTTCTTAGGCACATTCTGATTCAAATATAATGGATAACTCTTTCTCGGAGTTCTTCTGTGAACTACTCTGGAGTCTATTGATCTGTTCCACCCAACCTGTGGTTCTACTTTGCTTGACCTGCGGCCATGTTCTCTCAGAAAGCCTCAAAATGCCTGGTTTAAATAATACTTTGCCCAAAACCAGGTGGGAGTCTGACTGGCATAGAAATATCAACCATTCCTTTGTCTCAACTGAGATTTTCCAATTTTGAGCAATTATCCAGCTCCTTAGTGGCAGTGAGAGGGTTAATCCATCCATCAAACTCCAACTTGCTTTCTTCAGCATCTCTGACTTCCACTCATAGCTACTACCACCTCTTTTTTTACTCCAACTTTCTTAGAAAGGACCTGTTTGGGGTGTCACTTGATCCAATTGACCAATCCCTTTCTAGGGACCATAACAAAGGGTGGTCTTAACCTTAACTAAAAACTAATCATCTCAACTATAGTAAAAGGCTCTTCACACTTTAAATTTTAGGTGAATTCAGTTTATAGAAAAGGTGACCCCTTAAAAAAATTATAATCATCTGGTTTCTGCTGGACATTGCCAAAAGCATCAAGAAATGGATGTATGGATTTATTTTATGGAGAAATCCAATCAAATCTCCAGAAAAAGATTAAAAAATACTTAATTTTCTTTTATTTCAGGCCACATGCAACACTTCCTCTAATCTTTATCTTCAAGTGAAAAATTATTATCCAAATATGTTTTAAGCTTGAACAAAACATGTTTTTCATAAATCTTGACCATCTGAAATTGCTTCATAAAAAATGACTCTCTGGCTAGACAGTGGTTACTTTTGGCATAGTTTTAATATCCACTTAGAAATATACATCCATTGTCCATATCCATTACAATTTTATCTTGACTACTGGGTTTAAGTGTGTCCAGGCCGGAACACTCCAGACAAGATTTAAATGTTATCTCAAGTATTTTCTAGGTCAGCCCATCCACATGTAGCTGATAATGTCACAATCATGGCTCTCCTTAACTTTGTGTCCTTTGTAGCTCTTAGTAATCTTTGTCTTTTTACTATTCCTCCACATCTATTCTGCCATCCATTTACACAAGCATGTTAGGTTATACATTGTTTTTGTCTTCAGTATGCGCGAGCATCAATTTTTTCAAACCTTCTTTCCTCAATTTCAACTGTCTCTTTTTGTTTTTAAGTATACATATCCTTTTCATTTTCATTTTTTTTGTTTACAACTTCCTTGTTACTCAGCGTCCTTCTTTAGAACCAAGTCTATTGTCTCAAGTCTCCTCTTCATCTATGAGGAAATCATCCAGCATTCACTTCTATATAGTTCAGAACACTCTTTATTTTTAGTAGCCTTCTGTAGAACCACATCTCTGTTGCCCAAAGTCTTTGAGGAAATTGTCCAGCATTCATTGCTATATAGATGGATTGCTATCACACTTTTCTTCATTTCCCTTGAAATGTTTCAATTTCCTAATACTTTGCTTCGTTTTTTGCTCCTGTTTTCCTTAAAACTTCCTCATTGTTAACATGTTCTGTCCATAGAATTATAAGCATTCATCAGTAGATTTACATTTGTCACTTCAAGTCTCTTCTTAATTTGTGGGGAGATTACCCAGCATTCACTGCTATATTAGATATTTCAACTTGCATGGAGTCATCAATGGAATTGTTATCATTCCTTATCAAACAGTGAAAATATATTATAATTTGAGCACAGTTGTATAAGCAACAACAGAACAGCCTTCTAAGACTCTGAGCACTTTACTATCTGCCCTGTCGCAACCCTCATTGGTTCTTGGGAAAATGACAAGTATGAATGCTACACCACCAGCCATAATCTGATCCTACTATTTTGCAACTAGTCTTGACATGATATGTTGCAACTGGTGTTGTGTTTAATGCCGAAATCTAAATATCCAGTATGCAATTTTATGCTTTCAAGTACTGATATTTTGTACATAATTTCATATTTTCAGGGTAAAGGTATTTTTTTTTTTTTTTTAGGTATATAGTTTATAGATCATAAAATGTATTGTTGGCAGTTTTACTATAAAAATGTATTTTTATATATAATTTTTCTTGATATTTTTTTTTAAAGCATTTCACCCCAAACAAGGCAGGATGCCACTAGCGTGCAAGGGGTTACAGTGGGAGCAAGTTTAAAAAGGTGTGATAGAGGAAAGGATGAAGAGAAGGATAGAGAATAGATCAAGGTATCTGGAGATGTCGATTTACATTACATTTGAATAGTTGGAGATTATAGCTATCAGGGAAACAAGTAATATGAAGGGAATTCCACAGATGGGAGGTGCGAGACATGAAGCTATTGGAGTAGAAGAGACAGACATTTAACAGTTTTGACAGTGAAAGGGTGGGATTGAGATGCCAGCCTAGTTGCACATTTAAATTCATGCAGTCTGGGAACTAATGAAAAGTAGTAGTAGTAGTATTTGTAGAAAAGACAAAGGGAGGTAACTGTAGACAAGACGCCAGATCAGGGCCAATGACATTGCATATCTGTCTCTAGAAACAGTGGGGGCACCAGACCATATATGGCAGCAGTATTCCATGCAAAGGTGAATAGTTGATTTATATTTATAGTTGATGGACTCTGGCGAGAAAAACTTTCAGGTGTGAAACAGGGAGCTAACTTTCCTTGGGGTGAATGAAGCTATTGATTTAAATTGTTCCATCTCAGGTCAACCGACAGTGTGAGACCAAGCAGTTGCAAAGAGGTGCTCCCATGGAGTTGAGCATCAGACATTCTAATGGGAGGCAAGGATGGTTCCCAGTGGTGAGTAATAGAGAACAGTTTTGTTTTAGAGGCATTAAATTAACCAGCCAATTCCTGCCACAGTCCACAACCGATTGAAGGTCCTTTTCGGACAAACAGCCAGGTTAGTTTTGTCAGCGACATTAGATTTGTTTTTAAGGCAGGAGTAAATAATAGTGTCATCTGCATAGATGTCTACTTGGGAAC